GGCCTTAAATGAGTTAGGATTTTCGAGAATCAGAAACCCAAGTTTTATTCAGTTCCGATAACAGGATAATTTTCGGATCCGAGTTTAATTGACCAAACCCTAGTACCGTTTAAATAACTTTAGACGTTGTATCATTTATTCGTAACACGTATCGTCATCCTGCTCACGTGATCGACTCTCGTCCCACCATTGGAGCCGAACCGCCGAGTGCGTGCTCGTGCACCGAGTCCGAGTCAAACCACCGAGTGCGTGCCCGTGCACCGAATCCATCCATCTACCGTCTACGCTCCGTTTTCGTCAGCCGTGGTCTAAGCACGCCCGTGCGTCAGTGACCGTGGCACCGTTTCAAACCCGTGCATTGGCTAAGCCGTGTCAGTCGAGCTCGTGCCAGCCCGAGTTGCCATGCCAAACTCGGATCACGGTCAAACCGAGCTGCACAAAGTCAAGTGAAGGATCGACTGACTCCGAGATAGCCGTCGGTCCAGTTCAGTCGAACCAGTCCCAGCAGTCAAGACGGTTCGAAGATAATTTCAGATCAGTCGAATCAGTCCGAACAGTTCGAACAGACTTTCAGTTCAACTGAATTAGTCTAGGCAGTCCAGACGGTTCGAGAAATTTCAGATAGAATTTCAGAGATAGAATTTCAGATATATATTTTAGATAGAATTTTAGTTATATATTTCATATAGAATTTCAGATAGAATTTCAGAGATAGAATTTCAAATATATATTTCAGATAGAATTTCATATATATATTTAAGGTTTATTGCACCAAATCCCTTTGTATTATACTAAATGTGCGCGTTTTCTCCTTGTAATTTAAAAATTGCGTCAAACCCCATTATATTAAGCGTTGGCCAGCTGACGCTCCCCAACTTGTGTCCGAGTGCTAACACCGTTACATATTTGTCAAACTTTCTGTTATGTCCTTGTCAATTGAGTTTGAGCACCAGTTTTTTCTTCTTTTCCAAAGGGTGAAATCCCTAATTAAAAAAAAAAAAAAAAAAGAATAAAGCATATCTCATATTAAGCCCGGGGTCTTCTTGATCGAGAGTTCTCCCCCGATTTGTACGACGGCAGGGCCTTCATCAGGGACGACCTAGACGTCGGCGACAGTGATGAACTTGACGGAGCCCGAGGTCTTCTCGATTGAGACGTCGGCGTCAGAACGGGAAGGGGATCTCCATCACCTTCGCGAAGGCCCTGCGGTGGAGATAGAGGTGAGTATCATGGAGGTCACGGCCGGCGATGCGTTGTCGTCTCCGGCATCACCACTGTGAAAAACCCCATATCCCATACTTGCCTCGTCATGGACAGATCCCCATAGCTGCCATATAGGCGACCCGTATTTCATCCAGATTGTGAAATTCCTGTTGAAAAAATACTGAGAGGTTGCAGAAAATGGTTATATCAACCGAGAAAGAATTTACCTTCGAACAATTGCTTGAGCTCTCTGAGGAGTTGTTAACATTTCCTAGAGCCTCATCTGAGGCAATGGTGTGTATTTCTTAATATCCTATTGTGAATTGCTACTTACGGCCTCACTATTGCTTTTGAGATGAAACTACTTGAAATATGTGGCTTGTACTTTTTGGAAACTAGAAAATCATTAGATTAGATTTCTTTCTTGGTATTCTATTATGAAGGGGTCATCATTTATGAAGTGATTTTGCAGCTTTGCATTTGCTTGTTAAAAAAAAAAAGTATTTCACCCCTATGGCCTCTCCCTGTTTCAGGTACGACAGGCAAAAATGTGAAAGAGAAGGGACCTGACAATTTGTGGGTGGAACTTGAAATATTGTTTCAGATCTAGGGTTTCGAATAGAATTCAGGGGTGGGACCTGACATCCCGACGGTGCAATAGACGAGGGTGGCGGTGAACTCGATGATGAGGGCTCAATAGAAGAACCGGAGCTCGAGCTCCCCGACGTCGATAAGCAACGCCGGAGGAGATACAATTTTAAATTTTTGTTCACTTTTTAGATTTTTTTTTGATTTTTTTAGGTTGAAGATTAACTAAGGTAATTTTGTAATTTATTTATTTTTTTCAATGGACAAAATAGTAATTTTAATTTGATGTAAATAAAAAATAAGAAAAAATGAATAATTGTTGCAATATGGGCATGTGTACTGCACGCCCCGTCAAATTAGATGGAGAGGGGATTATCGTGCTACTACTAGTTAAATACAAAGGAGTTTGACGCAATTTTTGAAATAGCAGGGGAAAACGAGCAGATTTCATATAATACCAGGGGGTATTGTATATTTTACCCTATTTCATATAGATTTAATTCCAGATAGACTTAAGTCTAGTTAGATTATAACACAGTCAGATTTAATTTCAGTCAGATTACAATTCAGACTTAGAAATATATTTCAGATAACTCTAGAATGTCTCAAAGACAATAATATTTTCAAAGTCAGCTCGTAAATCCCTAAAATGATTTTTAAAAGCAGAGTGAGCGGACCTAGTCAAATAAGATAATAAATTCGAGTTTATTCTGAGCCCGGTACTTAGAATATTTCGCTCAATATATTTTGTAGCTTGAGGAGAGTAGAGCCTCCGTCAGCTACCCATTTCAGCATTTGCATTCGCCAGTTTCCAGGTGGGGACCATGTACTGTGTATTTCATCGCTTTTAATAATTTACCATGTCTGAGGTCTATATGTGATTAAATTGAAGGACCG